AGAGGTATTTAACCTAATATAAATATGTTAAATAGTCTTTATATTAGTTAGTCAAGTCACCTGAAATGGTTGTCCATAAAGTAAGGACTTTGATGCCTCACGTAACCCAGTGATAGGATCACCATTGGCTTCTGACTTATCAATAGGTGGAACTAGTTTATTTGCTCGATCAATATCCTATACAATAAATCAAACATCAAACATTAATATGAATAAGCAATATGTATTCGTAATTAAAGTTAGTAATAATGAAAAAATAGGAAAAAATATATATTGTGGTTGAAATAGGTTTGACAAGATGTCTTGGCCATGCAATGAAAGTCTGTAGGGCCTGCCCAACCAGCCGAACCTTTGAAGTAGGTATGGGAACTCGAGCATTAGAATCTCAAACTTCTTCAATGACCATCTTGACCAAATCATTTGTCAAAGGCACGTGGTGTATAATTGAACTCCCCTCACAAACTCTACCAATGGCCACTACAAGGAGAGGAATCCCATCAATGCATAACTCACACTGATTGGAGATATTAGCATGAAGCTCATCCCCTAAGGGATTACCAGCAGCAGTAGCACTTGAAGGAGTTGGACTGATGGAGGTAGGATGGATCAAGTGAAGGATGCTTGTTCCTTTAGGCCTCCTCCGAATGCTAGATCTCCTCCTTGAAATTTCCACCGATTCAAGTGATGAAGAAGAAGCAAGGATTATGAATTGAAGACTCCTAGAACCAAGACGGAAGCATCTAGGCTAAAGGAGCAAAGGGAGCTCACTTCAAGGCTAGGAAATAGGGTAGGATTTCCTAATTCTAAAGTGTAGTACTCGGTGACCTTTGAGAAAGAATTGGAGCTGAAGATTTCAGAAATTCTCTTATTCATCAAAAGTGAAATTACAAGGAGGAGGAATGACATATATAGGCTACGAATTGCAAGAGAATTGGTGACATCCATGAAGAGCCAAAGTTGGCGCCAAGTTGAATTCAAATTTGAAATTTGAATTCAAACTTGGACGTCCAAGCTTGGTGCCCATGTGGTCGGTCCTCATCTAGAAGCTTGATTGCATTTGAATGTAATTTGAGGTTCATTTGAAGCTTCACATCTGTAGCCACCCTTGGCACAAAACATGTGACTCAAATGCAACCCTAATTACTTTCAAATGTAATTAAGTTTTCATGATCCATGCTTATTATGTCTTTCCTCAAAATTCCTATTCTATGGGCCTAAATAAAATGGTCAATCAAATACAATGGAAAGGAAAAATTACAAGGATTGAAACGAGCCCAATATTGGGTACCAAAAGCCCAAAGGCCCATGAAGCCCAATACTAAGCCCAACAAGCCTAAAGCCCAAAAAATCCTAATCTAGGGTCCAAAATACAAGATCCAAAATATAGGAAACCTATACTAACATGATATATACAAAACATAAGGAAATAGCTATAACAAGATATGGCCCATGTGAAGCTCAACTTGGGCCTTCTAAGCCCATCGAGCCCATTGGGCCTTGACTAGTCCAAACCTTCGTGTCTAGCCCATTCCTCTTGGCTCTTTTAATGTGTCACCCCTTGCCTTACTAGGCATGATTGCATCATGGACAACTGCCTTTAGTGCTAACACGGGCCACGATACCATGATCTACCTCAACTGGAGGAACATCCTATGACTGTGTAGTACTCATATTCGGGTACTTTGCCATTAAAGTTTGTGACCCATACATATATTTGTTGTGTGAGGGCTTCAAGATCCTGTGGGCTCAATCTAGATAAGGATGACCCCTGTGATAATGGTCTAAAGTAATTACCAATAGTAGCACCAACCCCAGCTATACGAACACGACCAAGATGCTCTGGTCGTCCAAGGGCTGTATTTAATATATCCTAACGGCCTTCAGGAATAAATGAGCCTTGTGATTCTTGCTCCTCCAACACATTCTATAATAAAGAAATTTTGTTTATAATATATCTGTAAATAAAAAAATCTACAATAAATCTTCAAATACATAAAGAGATTACTTTTATAAGAAAATACTTACAATTTTTTCTGCAATTTGATTAGCAGACTCAGAAGTCATCTCACCAGAGCTTTTTGTGCGAGCCATCCTCCACAAACTATGGCATGGAGGAGGACGTGGAGGATCAATCACTACATCCTCACTAGCACCAGATTGTATTGCTACCTCCTTAAGTCATTGAAGTTCTCTTTTCATAAAATTTCTCACAAGTAGCTCATAACTCCCACGAGACAATAGGTGGGGTGCATCATTGAGTTTCTGGATATCCTGTGCTTTTTTTCTTATAAGCTGCAATAATTTAATACAACGATAATTAAAAGTGAATTAAAAATAAAAATTTAATATACATTTAAAAAAAAAAACACAATTTACCTTCCAAGAAGGGTCATTCTGAATTTCTTTGAATTTCTCCCATTCTTCAGGGTCAATATTATACGCATCACAAGGGCTTTTACCCTTATGTTTCCCATGTACCCATTCCTTGTAAGATAAGACTCGTGTTGCCTAAATTTTGTAGCAACAGTTGAAAACATTTTACTCGTTAATATTGTACTATCACTAATGTCATAGACTTCCTACAAAACAATTTTAGATTTAACAATTAATAATAACATTAAAAATAATCATTATTTTGTCAAATTATGTAAAGATAATGGAAATACCAATATATCCTGTCAAATCATGTTTTTAGTAGTCTGTGGAACTTCTTTCCAAGAAGGAACTAAAATACTAATCTTGTCTCGAGCAAGGGTTCCCAAATAACTTGCAAATTGAACTTTGTTTGGCCCTAAAACTATCCCAGTAGTGGGATCCACATCAAGTGATATTTTCACCCCATTCATGCGCTTACAGGCTAAGTTTTTCATTCATGTCAACTTCCTATTTTTCTTAGATATAGTCTGTGAAGTAGGGGGTATAGGAGCAGGGGAGCCTTGAGGAGCAAGGGAGCCTTGAGGAGTAGGGGAGCCTTGAGGAGCAAATTGAGTATCCATGTATCTGTTTTGACAAAAATAAAAACCAAGGTTAATTGCAAAATAAGTAATAAAACTAATTAAAAGCGTGAAAAAAAATGATAAATAGAATATTAAAGTATACATCAAGATAAACATAACTTAATGTGGTAATTAGATAATAATGTTTTCCCATATGCCTTCATCATGGTCATTACGAGTGGCATGAACGTCATCTTGTTCAATTTCTTCGTTATTAGTAGGCATACGTGTTGAGAAAGAAAGACTCTCCCCAAGCTCAATTGTTGACTCGTCAACATTGTGTACACTTCTACCTTGTAGAACCACAAACCACCTTTCAACAATAGGATCTTTGACATAAAATACTTGTGTTGCTTGGTTTGCCATGATGAAAGGTTCATCCTTATGACCCACCTTGCTAAGGTCTACCATTGTAAATCCCATTCCATCGGTTCGCACACCAATGTTAATATCAACCCACTTGCACTTAAAAACAAGAACTTTAAATGTACCATAACTAATCTCCCAAATGTCTTCAATGACTCCATAGTAACTTGTGGATGCCACAATAGGATTTTTATCATTTCTACTAGAAAAATGTATAGATTGAGCCTGAAGAGTAACCCCACTATTCTGCATGGTACTGTTATCATCTTGTGACTTTGTGTAAAATGAAAAATTATTGATATCATATCCACTATAAGTAAAGACATTACATTTAGGCTCATTTGCAAGACATTTTAATGTGTCAGAAGCACTATCATCACTAAAGACTTTTTCTTTAAACCATTTTAAGAATGTCTTGTTATGCTCATTGACCAATGATTTTTCATTCATTATAGGGTTATTTTTCTTCAAAAGGGCTTGGTGCTCAGATATGTAAGGGAAGACATCTTCAGTATTGTTCAATATATACAAATGTGCTTGAAGTAATTCCTTTCGAAGAATAAATTTAAGTTTTTGGGCTTTTGTACCCTTGCCTTCAATTCTATCGTCATAACAAGACTTAGGAATCCCTATTGGTTTTGCTTTAGACATGTAATCTAAACAAAATTCAATAGCTTCTTCTGCAATGTACCTTTCAACAATAGCTGCTTCTAGACGGTATGGATTCTTGCTATACCCTTTTAAAATCTTCATATAACACTCAACTGGGTACATCCATCGTAAATAAATAGGGCCACACAATCTGATCTCCCTAACTAGATGAACAATCAAGTGAATCATGATGTCAACAAAACTCAGAGGAAAATACATCTCCAATTGACATGGGATAATAATAGACTCATTTTCCAACTCATCCAACTTTTTAGGGTCAATGACTTTAGCACATATAGCATTAAAAAAGAAGCACAAACGAGTTAACACACTTCTAACATTATTAGGCAAAATGCCACGTATAGCCACAGGTAAAAGTTGTTGCATCAAAACATGACAATTGTGAGATTTTAAGCCAACCAGTTTAAGATCATTCCATGAATCAAGGCTCTTAACATTTGAAGAGTATCCCTGTGGAACTTTGACACCTCGTAGACATTGACAAAAACTTATTTTCTCTTTTCTTGACAAAGTATGACATGTTGGAGGCAAATATGTATGCTTACCTTCTAACCTTGGATGTAACTGTTCACGTATACCTATCTCTAAAAAATCTTGACGAGCATTGAATCCATCTATTGTCTTGCCTTTAATGTTTAAAAGTGTGCCTATTACACTATCACATACATTTTTCTCCACATGCATAACATCTATGCAGTGTCTAACATCTAGATGGCGCCAACATGGAAGATAAAAAAATATGGACCTCTTCTTCCACAACTTCTTCTCAATTGACTTCTTTTGGGTCTTTCCAAAGATAATATTTATGTCCTTCACTTGATCATAAACTTGCTTACCAGTTAAGGGTGTGGGTGCAATTTCATGTTCTTGACATCCATTAAAAGCTTTTTTCAATCTTTGATATGGGTGATTAGGTCTGAGAAATTTTCGATGCCTAATGTAGACAGTTTTCTTTCCATGCTTCAATTAAAGGTAGCTTGTTTGTTTTTCACAAATAGGGCATGCGTGATGTCCTTTAACACTATATCCACTCAAGTTCCCATATGCCGGAAAATCATTTATAGTACAAAATATCATTGCATGTAGATTGAAACTCTGTTGACGATACCCATCAAACACATCAACCCCTTCTTCCCACAAAATTCTAAAGTCCTTGATCAAAGGACTTAGATAAACATCTATGTCATTTCCTGATTGTTTTGGGCCTGCAATCATCATACACAATATCACATATTTTCTCTTCATGCACAACCAAGGAGGGAAATTGTAAATTGAAAAGAGAACAGGCCATGAACTATGGTTAGTGCTTAAGTTTCCAAAAGGATTCATTCCATCTGAAGCAAGCCCGAGCCTAAGGTTTCTTGCCTCACTACCAAAATTTGGAAACAAACCATCAATTTTTTTCCATTGTGGGGAATTAGTTGGATGGCGAAGCATGCCATCGCAATTTCTTTTGTCTGCATGCCATGTAAGGTTCATTGCATCAGTTGCATTAGCAAACAATCGCTTGAACCTTGGAATAATTGGAAGATACCATAACACCTTCGCTGGAGGCCCCTTCTCAACTACATCTTCATCACTACTACGACCATCATCCTTCACTTTGTACCGTGACAACCCACAACGAGGACATTTTTGCAATGATTCAAACTCTTTTCTATACAATATGCAATCATTAGGGCATGCATGTATTTTCTTATACTGTAGACCCATCGGACACAAAACCTTTTTCGCCTCATAATGACGATCTGGCAACGTGTTGTCTTTTGGAAGCATTAACTTCAACACCTCAAGAAACTCTGTGAAACTTTTATCACTCCACCCATATTTTTCCTTTAAGTTCATTAATCTCAACACTGCTGATAATCGTGTGTAGGTTGTACAATCAGGAAACAAAGGTGTCTCTGAGTCACTTTTTAAAGTATCATACACATGTGATTGTGCTTGCTGGAAAAACTCTTGTCCCACATCACGAATCATGTCTTCTATTTGATCTTCCATTTCTACATCATCTTGCTCAGTTTGGGCCACAATTTGAGTTTCTTTATCTTCACCATGCCATATCCATGTTGTATAGCTCGTTAAAAACCCATCACAAATAAGATGGTCTCGTATTTCATCAATTACATGTCGTCTCCCATTTAAACAATTAACGCAAGGACAATAAAATTTTCCATTCAAATCTGCTTGATTTCTTTGAGCCAATTCCAAAAATTGTTCAACCCCATTTTGATACTCATCAATGATTCTTCTTGCATTCACCCAACTACGATCCATTTTTCTTATTCTGTGAGACAAATTTATTTACACAATTGAGTATTTATGGTCTCTCTATATAATAGAAGAGCAAACCATATACTAATTCAATGTTATTTGAACCTATTATTTCATTTATCTAAGTAGGTAGAAGATTCAAATATAAGTCATCTTATTTCATCAACTACATAAATATAATTCATCTCATTTCTTCAACTAGATAAATAAATTAGATAAATATAATTTAGTTTAAGGTACCTTACTAAGAAGATATGACAAACTAGATGTGTTGACTAATGGATGTCAAGAAGAGAAGTATGACCCTCTACACACTTCTTGCCAAATGAAAATCAAGTTTAAGAATATTAAAATTTAACTTATAAATAATTATAATAAATAAAAATTAAATTAAATATAAAGTTAAAAAAGTTTTTAAAAATTCTTACATAAAATAGCAGTTTGTGTGTTATATATGAGTTATTGTAAATTAACCATACAAAATATGGGTTAAACTCTTTATTTTTTTTCATTTTATTATTCAATTTTTCAACCAATAGAAAAGATACGGTTATTTCGTACTCTATTTCATAAAATGATTTTCAACCAATGAATTGTGCATATATATAACAACTAACAAGGCTCCACTTTGCTTTTTATAGTTGTACAAACAAAACTCAAATCAGTCTCTCGCTCTAACCGATTGCAACACTTCATGTTATTCTCTTTCGTTAAAACTCAATTAGGAAAAATGAATTATTTTTATATTAAAATATTCCTAATTAAAATATATTTTCTCAATTAGGAAAGTGAGATGTATTAATTAAGAGAAATAAATAGTGTATAAAAATAGTTTTGAAAAAAATAAAACAAACTTATTATAATCAACTAAATTAAATATTTTTTTTTTATTTTAACAAAATAGAAACGGAGGTAGCATGAAATTGATTGAAGCCAAAGCGAAAGTAATATTACTGTTAGACATTGTAATCAATTACTTGCAGAGGTTTCATGTTTAGTGTCCTCCAACCATATGCTTCGAACAGGGTGAAGGAGAATACATAATACTTAGAAACCAAAAATCTACTTAAATTATCTGAGATGTACTCATTTCAGGGATTTAATTAAATCATGCAGAAGGGGTTTACTAATTGAACCGGGAGCAACTAAGCAACACTCTAGCTACTTGCTAGTATACAATTGATTATTCAAAAAAATGGATTCTTATTAAAATGGGTCAAAGAAAATGTATGCATGACCGGGGAGCTCGTGGAATGGCATTAGCATATATATATTAAAGCTAATTTTGTGTCTTAACTTGCCATGTTTCTCTAATTACATGTCTAATATACTTATTAATTAGATAACAAAATTTTTTTCCTAAAGTCTTAAACATTTCCTTTTTGTGTGTTTAATGTTGCAAACTCTAATTGATATTGAATACATATACATGTATGAACATATCCTAAGGGATATACAAAACATTGATAGCTACTATGCACAATCCATGCTGTTCTTACCGGGGATCTGAGGTAGAGTTGATCCACTGGGTAAGGTCGGTGAGCCTCCTTCGCTGGTACGCTTGATGTTCCAAGATGGGGGTGGTACCTGCAAAAGAGACTCTGATGCTAAAGTTAGGGTTTGTATGAGTATGAGTCTCGTATAAGTAATGCACGTACCTTGGTGTGAATTAGGGTTGCGTTGGGCCTTGGGCCTGAGATCAATTATGATCTGATTAGATAGCGGATCTCGTCTAGGCTGAGATCTTCCCAGCAAATGTCTGAGGTCGTCCTGCGCTGTAATGTCGAGCTCGAGCTCGGCATAGTAGTACGGATAGTACACAAGCCCCCCGAGCTCCGAAGACCGTAGGTCGAGGAGTTAAGACCGAGCTCGTTAAGTGGTTGTGACCCTTCACGTACGCTTGCCTGTCAAGGTGCCATGTGTTACAACTGTCGCCGCATTTTTGAAAATGTGCAGGCGGCGCGTGAGTGAGGGTGACGGTTATGCAATTATGACTGGTGCTTGTCATAATGGGGGTCATTAAGTGTGTCGCCAGTTATGCTCCCTGGCCGACACGTGTTGTGGCCGTTTGGATTTTGGAAAAACCCTTTTTTCTTTCTCTCGCGCCTTTTCTCATTCACTTTACTCTTTTTTCGCCCTTTCAGCTTCCTACGCACGTTGTCTTCTTCGCTTCAGTTTATTCCTCACCTTCGTCTTCTCAGTTTCCGTCGCCATTTTTCGGCCACTAGGTTGTGCTTCTTCTTTACCGTTCTTTCGTTTGTCACAGGAGTACCAGGTATTTCGATTTCTCTGTTCTCTCTCCTTTCTCCAATCTTCTCCTTCTTCGAGTCTTTCTTGTTTTCTTGATGGCTGGAGAGAGTGGTGCAGGATCTTCCGCGCCTGCCAAGGGCAAAGGTAAGGCGCGGGGCAAGGCGGTGGCTACCGGAACGGCCG